AAAACTTACTTGTCGTTGAGACCTGGCAAAAAGGGACGAAATTATATTTCAAATTCTTTTTTGGGAGGGCGTCATTGAATAATCAAGCTATATTACGGGTAGATGCGTACCTAAATAGTGAAAAAAAAACCAAACGAATCAATAAGAAAAAAATCATAACAAATAGACCTGCATCTTCTACTGAAATAAACGAATACCCCTTAGCTATTTACTACCGACACCCACTATATGTTGATATTGGATGGACGTTCACGTATTATTGGCGGCTTCTGTTAGTAGTCGCAGCGCAGTATTCTTCCTCGTCAATAAAGCTTTCCCAAATGTTTAGTTAAAAAATACCTTGCGGCACATTCTCATTGTACTCTTTATATTATCCTTGGTTTATTGCACAAACGCCATTCACAGCTTGAAAAAAACCGCGCGCGTTTTTATTACAAAACACATTATAAAAATGCCCTTTCACAGGAATTATTAAAGAAAAATAATGCAATCAGTAAAATGGAATTTGTTAGAGTGTATATATGAAAAGAGGGTACTCAAAAGGGATTTTCCCTTCGGTATATCGGTACGTGCGTGTACGGGTCCACCCTTTACCGGCCTCTGCGATTAAATAGGCATTCAGCGTACAATGGCAGCTGATTGGTGAGACAATTGACGGTTTTTCGATGTCAATTTATTTTTGTATCTCGTACAATACAGTAGGCTGCAACAAACAGTGCAACCCCGTTCTCTCAATTTAGAGCCATTCAATTGCGCTAACGCGAGTAGAATTTTGATTTGGGATTATTTATCCTAAATTTTGTATTTATTGCTTTTTGATTAACGTATGAGAATGGACTCACATCTCATATTAAGGTAGAAGTATGAAAGACAATTTTCACGGTATTTTATATCAAATTTATGCGCTTTGACTTGACACGTCCTGGTATTAACCCTCTTACGTAATAAATAAGTACTTAGCTTCTTTGTTTTTATAACTCACATTGGTTCATCAAGTATCATACATGCACTAATTGGATTCAATAGACTGATCCTCTGTTTATTAAAATGAAGAGAGGTAGATGTAATAAAACAGGATAAGCATCGCGGAGCTTTCACGGGGTTTCAGTGGTGAGATTGCAAACCTTTAGAAGGACGGGCGAAATTCATTGAAACGGATGACAATGTTTTCAGTATAAGTAGGAAACAGACTGTTTGCATTTTTAAATGCTGGAATGGAAAACTTGCTTTGAGTTTTGAAATAATCCAGAAATCTAATGTTTTCCGTTACATTACTCATACAATTAGTAGAGGGTAAATAGAATTAAGTATTTCACTTATACGGCAATATTTAAGAGCTAGAGAAAAATCGCAATGCAAATCTATAAAGCGCAGGACCTGGTTCCGCAGGAAGTTCATTGAAACTATGTGAGCAGTAGCTCCGTCTTGTTGGAATCATATGTGTCCTGTTGTGGGAGGAAAAATGCATTGATCATGTGCACGTACCGATTCGCGTTCACTGTCATTGCAACTCCACCCTCTTCAAAAAGATGGTATACCAATAACATTGTTGTCTCGGTGCTCCACACCATTCAGTTACACGAGGCGAATGGAGAGGTTTCTCACGAAGCTCTCTTGGGTTTTCCCCTGCTCAATATTTACAATTTTGTTGGTTGACTGTCCCATTAAACAAAAATTAACATAAATATTTTCCTAAGACGTAAAATTAATTTCAACTTATTTGGAATCATCAGTTAAGAAAAAACCTTTTGCAACGTACCTCTCGCAGTATAATTCTTCTTTCGGGTTCAGAATCCTATGGCAAAAAAGGGGGTTTTCACATTTTGAAAACTAAGAAATACATGAATTTCTGCGCACCTCGTATACATTTTTGCAATGAGTATAGTATTTAAAAATGGGGCTGGTTCATTCCTTTACAAAAGCATTTATTTTGTGGGAAATTACAAGAAATTCCGGAAAAACTCAAATTATCCAGTAAAATTGAGGGACGTGTAAAACGAAGATGAAGTGTAATCATACATTATGTACCTATAGAGTGTTTACCGGGAATCGCATGGTTTCTTAAAACCTTTAAATTTTGAACCAAAATGTATTTTATTTAAACAATGTGTCCTTCAAACTCAGAATTTTAAGAAAATCTTATAAAAAATTAAGTAGCAAAAATAGCAATTTTAGATTTATAATTGTTTCTCAATGTTTACACTTTAACTGCATTTTTAGGTTTATTTTTAGAACTCGTAACTATTACCCAAGATTAGAAATACATAATATGTTTTCAACCAATAATGTCGCAAGACACTGATGGAGCAAATAACGTCGAATCCTGATGCCCTTGTAGAAATGTCGACTTGGACGATACTGAACGGATCCTATGTAAAAGATGCTTTTTCACTGGTTTCACAGAAAATGTGTGTCTTTAACCTCCACTCACTGTCATCACCCGGTTAGGAACAGATCCCAATCCATGTTTTTGCAATAAATGGACCCAACGTCCCTTAATCCAAACCAACAATCAAAAACAAGATTTATCATTTTACCTGTTCTACGCAAATACCACCTTCCGGTGACACTATTGAGGAGATGTACACTATAAAATATCTAAAACGAAATACTAGCATTCTCAAAAGGATCTCCAAAGGCACTCGACCCACTCCATTCAATGTACCATATGATTGCATTTTAAACAATGACAAGGATTCATGGGTTAAATTTCTTACTTTAGCATACGCCGCTTTCAGAATCAAAAATCAAATAAATCCCTCGGTAAGATTGTCAAAAATAATGTATCGTATAGGGTTATGGTGTAGCCGGTGACACATATGACTTAAAAGATAAGTAAAGTGAAGGAAAGGGTTTTAATGGCATGTTTTTGAACACGGCATTTTTCACGTTTACACGCGGAGACGGTTTCACTTTAGGAAATAGGTTTGCAACCCAAGAAAGTCGTTGATGTCATGTCAGGATACTTATTTATTTATTTATTGTGGGAGTGAGAGTGAGAGATACTTCAGCTTAATAGCGGGAATTCAGCGATAGCACTATGCCACCCACCACTTACCTTTGAAAGTCAGGAGCTTAGGTACCTAATAAACAACAATTATACCAATTACTAATATGTAGTAAATAACATGCAATGCAAAAGAAACGATAAGGGAATTGGTAATAAGAGTGAACGATATAGAAAATGAAATAGAAATGGAGATCATTAGAAGTAAAAGAATACCAACTCCCGCTGGCTCAATCCCAGAATCAACAACACCAACAAAATAGCAGAATTTCATATAGCTTTGGATATAAAAAATCAAATCATGAAATGGTTCCAATTTTGAAAATTTCCTATTTCTAACATTCGCTATAGACTTAACTGGATCAATTTAGTGGCTAAGGATATCAAATCTAATAAAATAACATTCGGCACAATTTTTTATACACCATTTATAATTTGTAAGAATGTAATTCAGTTCAATACGGAGTAAATTTTTCATTGGTGTTTAGTGAATAAAACACGAAAAACGCCGTAGAATCCAATTTTTTTTAGTAGAAATTGATAATTTTTCCGGAAAATCTCTTATGTAAGTATAGGTGCTATTTCCTCAGTGTGAAGGAAGCACACTTTTGCTCTCCATAGAACGTTGAGAAATGTTTAAAGATGCTTCCTTTAATGTTCTGCAATAAATTACAGTAAAATGTAAACTTACTGTACGTCAAGAAATCAGATTCAATAAATAGTTTCGTTCCATTAGCAAAATTAAGGTGTTCAGTACAAATAGATCACATGCATGATAATAATTTAAAACATTTGTGCTTCATTTATGTAGTTCTTCATAAATATTTCCACAATTAACGTGCAGACCAATTTTATATTGGTGTAGGTGCAGATTATTGCATAAATACATACTGCACTTCGCATATAAAATAACTTATGTTGAGTTCAATTATAACAACTGAGGTCATCTTAGCATGATAGGTACAGTCTACGGCTCTTGCAAGCCTTGTAAAGAGTAAGCTCACCTTATTTATTCTATTTACTTCTCACTTCAGTTCATAAGTAATAAAACATTGAAGTTTTAGTACACTTTATAAAAGTGTCACGATTTGAATGTACTCTATTATAGTTCAAAAGAAATAAGTCTGTGGTAAAAAAAATGCCAAAGATGCCTTGTAGCGCTCATGAGGTCACTGTAGTGAGGTAAGCCATAGATCGTTAATTTTTGGCATAGTTGATGATGAAATGATTAATTTTTCTTTGATCATTTGGGGTACACACTTAAAATTGGGAATATAAAGCCACACGAATCCATTATTAACGGCTCAACCACAAACATTATAAATCCATTCAGAAAGAATAAGATCGGGTTTCCTTTCAAGTTTTACGAGGCCATCAGCGCATCATTAGAAGATTTGTTCGCCAATGAAAGAAGGATAGGCGGAGTTTCAACAATCGAAGTAAACTTTAAAGGCGCATGGCGCCAGCAACAAGTGTCCAGGAATTCACCTTTAGACCATTACTCTATCGAAATTCTCATAGGGATTAATTGCGCGATGTGAAAATTTTGAAATCGGGCACTTTGACGAGGCCCCTAATTTAGGATGATGAATGAAAACTTGGGGGGCGTAGGTATTGATTTTTTTGCCAGCCGCCGCACAGTTTGAAAGGCAATCGAGTTAATACGCAAACAGAAAACGATTAACTACCTACAGTAATCAACCCCTAACCCTAAAGTGATATACCCTTAAATAAACTCATTTAGCATATAGGTAAATGTCGAGATTCGGTTCAGTAAAATCTCGCGCATCTCCCGCCTTTTCCGCGATATCCCGCCACCCTAAACCAACAAACTCAGGGAAGTACACTTGAATCTCCCATCATGAAGCCAGTTGTCCTCTGCCACAACCACCAGATAGTTGGTTAATTTTTACTTGTGATACTTGATGTATATTGAGTTAGTGCAGTCGTGTCGAGGCTAATTTACAATGTCATCACCGAAACCCTTGCATAGTAGTCAGCAACAGTCGCAAGATCACATCAAGAGGCCTATGAACGCTTTTATGGTTTGGTCGAGGGGCCAACGAAGAAAAATGGCACAAGAAAATCCGAAGATGCACAATTCCGAGATATCGAAACGTTTAGGAGCTGAATGGAAGTTGCTGAGCGAATCTGAGAAACGTCCGTTCATTGACGAAGCAAAACGATTAAGGTATTTTCACACTTTTACTTACCCTCTTTTCACGTCAGTGGCTGATATTGCCCCTACCAAATCTAACCGCGTTAACGGACATAGTAATTGAATGTTCATTCACTGAACGGAAAAAGTTCATATTAGAGAACAACGGGCCGAATTAAACATAAGGTGCGCAATATTTTTCTGTAAAAGGCAAATCAGGATCACTAGAACTTGAACATCTTACACGTTTAACAATTTTTCCTTAGTTTAAAACGATTCCTGTGTTTAAAGTATATGTGGAATTTGCTGTAGGTACACTGAGTTTAATAGACTTCAGTACAGTTTTACCATTGAGCTTTATTATTATTAGATCATTTTGTTTAGTATCTTTTGTAGCACGTTTGCCATCAAGAATAACAAGTTTATAGAATAATAGATTCAAGAGTAGGTATAACAAGGTATCAAATATCAAACCGTTTTTTTTTAATATAAAAGTTCTAATCACATTGTATTAATATTAATGTGCCAGTTTTGACAGGGGTAAGGTGACAGGAGGCAGGAAAAGCAGTCAGAAAAAATGTTACTGCCACTGTATTGGAAGCTAGAATTTCCTGACACAGTATAGGCATGAAAATGAAGGTTTCATGACGAAAATGTATACTTAATGACACTACATTGACTCAGACTCGAGGCCGAGTACTTCAATATTTCCTCGCCAGTATACCTAATGTGTCTTTTTCCTGATTATTTTTATGTATCTTTAACTTATCTAACGTATACATCATAATCTACTTTTGTAAATTCTGTCACACTAAGGCATATATAGGTGGAAATTTGAAACTGCGAGGATTCACCATAATAATTTAGTTTACTCTTGAATCCCTTTGAGTCCGAAAAATGTGTGCACTCCCCCACTTAGGGAATGATTCTATAGGTTCTTGAAGTCAATTCAGAAATTCTTCACCTGTCATAATTTTCAATTCAAAAATATTACTTAGTTACATATTTCAACATATTTCAACCTACATCTCTGTCGCTGATTGAAAGTAAATTTTATTATTATTATTATATACTTTCCCAGAATTCCAAAACCAGTGAGTTTAGCATAGCCAGAGAAATTATGTACCTATAAATACATACCTATTTCAAACGCAGCTGCCAAAAGGTTTACAAAGGCAAAATTTAGAAATCTTTCTTCTTGCTTCCTTTGCCTAAATAGCAAATCACTTTGCAATAAGAAATCCCTCAGAGTCATCTAGATTAGTTACAGTTACTTGTTACCGATCTGTATTTTATAAGAAATTGGCATTCCCGCAAAATCCGTTTTGACGACCTCATTTTCAGATTTTGGTTCACATACTTTTTTACTTGTTTATTACCTACGTAAAAATGTTCTATAACCTTTACCTTTTTGAAGTTAAAAATCATACCATATATGAGAACAAAGTAGCTATTCCTTTGCAAACATTCTTTAAAACGTATTTTGGGGCTCTCTTTATACCGGATCTGGAAACAATTTCCTTTTTGAACGATTTCTGATATCGACCCAAATCAATATTCAATAACCCAAATAGTGATTCGACGTATGCACGTACATACCTATCTTTATACACAGGTGGACTTCCCCCATGGATCACTTTTGACTTTTGACTTATACACTCATTTTTGCCACAGATCTTTTTCCGTAGCGAAGCATTTTATTCCAACGTATGTCTTCCCCATTCGCCATATTTGTGGTTATGGACGAGCGTCTCCCGAAAGTTGTCTAGAATTTCGAAAATAGGAAGATTGATCTTGTTTTTTGTATCGCATTCTACAACGAGTGGTCAACCCAGACTTAATATCTGTAAATTATGCCAAAAATATCTGGGTGGCGAAACGATACGAACTTGCAATTAAAATGGGTGGTAAATCCAGAGGTGGCGAAAAAGTAATGAATCCTTATCCAGAGTATTTCCGTCTTGTAGTCTTTTAGAACGTGGAAGGCATTCCGGACAAAACCATTCTCGCTTAGAAACTGATGTAAGCCCGACGCAGTCCAAATGGAAATATTGAATCGTACAGCCAGGTAATCATTTCTTGGTGGCCCCGGGGGAGTAAAATCGCTCTGTACGCTGGCGAATCATTCCAAAAAGGCATGTGCAGAATCCCTTGATGTTTAAGAAAAACCGGCCACTAGGTCCTCTAGATATGCAGTGTGTCCCACGTAGCCTTTGAAATTAGCGTTCAACTTACTACTCCAATCTCTTTCTAGCATCAGGCAAGCGGAATAACGTACGTTGAACGCTAACTACAAATACATATCAAAGGCCTCGTGGATCCTTCGCGAAAAAATACATTAACTCTGTTTGCCTATGATACGTTCAGCCTGAGACACGCGGTATATGAGGTGTATATGAATTTTTCGACATTAGTAACCTGATTAATATATAGCAAACCAAAAACTCGTTAAAATAGTTAAATAACGCGAAATTGGTACTAATTTCGAGTGTTTCGAGTTACTGTCACAATTCGAAATTAAACTATACGTACTTACAACTTAATTTCCAGCTTTCACTGGTAACCGAGACTAATTTCGAATTAAGGATACATAAAGTTTGTCCACAAAAATTTGGAATTTTTGACCTAAAGGAAAATTCATTTTAACTGGAATACTGACTCATTATAAAATTGCTCCAAGAGCAATTCATATTTTAAAAAAAATTGACGGAACCGGATTGCGCTTGGAATAACTGTCATGTACTTCATCTTTCCTATTTCTATCGCAAAATCTAGCCCAACGAAAAGTCGCCCCCAAGTAGAGTGGCTCTCAAGTAAAATAAATTCGTGCTCGTAATATTCACCCCAAGAACATTAGCCCACGGGAAATTCGCCCACGAAATTATTTTTACCTCGAAATATTGACCACAATTCGCACCCGGGAAAATGCGCCCCCAAACATTTAGTCCTCATAAGATTTTGTCACCCCCCGCCCCCCAAATACCGAGTCGCCCCCTAAGAAGTCTTAACCCGTGTAAGATCACCTACCCTCCCTCAATTTTCATTTAAATTTTTTTGTTACTCTTTTCGAAAGTCACTTTTCCTCTCGAGTAAATAATTTTATATCCCAACTTCCCGGTCTTTTTCAACCTCTCCTAGAGCTCAAGATTTTTTTAGATCTGCCCATGTTCTCCTTAAATTTCTTCACGTTCGTTTTTCCTCTTCATGTATCCTTCAATGCCCAACGGGAAATTTACCCCTAAAAACTTATCCCAGACAGATTTTCGTGATGGAATGTACTCTGCTTATTCTTCAGTTTCGCGCAAGTTGGTCAGTGATATTACTTTGGGGCGAATTTAAGAATTATATGTCAAAGTTTCAAGTTTCTAGTTTCAACTTAGGGGCAAGTTTTTTTGAGAGCCTAACCCGAAGAGAGTTGATTTGCTGCACACCTAATCTGTTTTGATTTTTTTGTTTTCAATTATTTATAACAAAATTGTACGGCATCTGATACAGTTATAGTCGAAAATTAAACTTAAACGTTGTCCTTCAAATTGAAATAAAACAATACATTTTACTTTACTTATTCTTCACTTTCGCGCAAAAGAATAAAGTAAAATGTGTTGTTTTATTTCAATGCCTGCCACCTTCGTTTATATTTATTTATTCAGCTTTTCGCTGTTTTAAGTACAACGTTTAATTTTCGACTATAACTGTATCAGATGCCGTAAAATTTTGTTATAAATAATTGAAAATAAAAAAAATCAAAAGAGAATGGGTATGTAGCAAATCAACTCTTACCACTTCGGGTAAGGTCTCAAAAAAACTTGCCCCTAAGTTAATTCTTAAATTCGCCCCGAAGTAATTTCACTGACCACGTATTTTCCCACGCAAAATTTTGGCCGCGAAATACAGGCTACCGGAAAACTCACCCCCGGAAGAATCGTCCACGAAAGATTCGCTCCACCTCCGAAAAATTGCCCTTCATCAGCTCCTTCGTAATTTTCGATCGAAAGAAATACTGGGTTAGCCTGAACTTACCCTAAGAAAATTCACGATTTCGCCGCACTTATTATAGTAATCCAAGGGGAAGCTTTTAATGGGCAGAAGTAACAACTTTCTTAAACCCATCTAATAGGATGATGATTTTTTTAAAACGAGACAGATTACCAGTACATTTCAGAAATTAATACACTTATTTTTAATTTTTTTAAGATTCTTATCCAAAGGAAGGAATTTTTTTTATGAATGAAAGTTTCGCGAGTCACAGTCACAGTCAATTTACTTTAGAAACTGTTGGATGTAATGAAATAGGGGAAGTATTTTTTTAAGCAAAGACTAATGGATTCATTTTCGATAAATATCTCCATAATTATAATTGCTTGTACACTAAGGTAAAATATTAATTATTCATCAGGCAAAATTCTTTTTTACTTATAGGTTTCTATTAGCTATCGATTTCGGGAACGAAACGGCCTGAAGATGGGTAATCGTCCCCGAAATCGGTAGCCAATAGAAACCTAAATCAAAAATAATGCATTCCCTTAGATTGGTCCGATACTGGGGCTAATTAAGTATAACCTGATAAAAATTAAGTCGAATTTCATGTGCGCAAAAAGCAATGAGCAATGAAAAGGCAATTTTCCATTTATAAATGTCACAACTACGAATTTTACTGATTATCAATGTAGGTATATAATTCACAGAAGAATTTAGTAAAGAAAAAAGATGAAATTGAGAAGAACTTAAAACATTCAACACAAAATTGAGGGAATCTTAAGGAGAACAAGGGGAAAATTTAAGGAGCACATCGGAACAACCTTAGGAAGATTTGACGGGGAACATTTTTATATAAGGAGGAGGGAGAGGCAAGTGAAATTAAACAGAGATTGGTGAAGAAATTGGGAAGTGGATGTAAAATTATTTTCAGAGAACTCAAGGGGTGATGGGGAGTTTCCAAAATTGCGAAATTAAGGCAAACATAAAATGAAAGTTGATCAAAACATGGGGGAGAATTTGAGAGTAAATTTGAAGAAGAACTTGATAGTAACTTT